GGACGGAGATGAACCCAGACGACGCTATGCTGAAGGGCAGAGTTTCATCTGCGGTAGTAGACAGATACCCGACCCCGTTTTTTACGTGGTCTACCGGGAATTTTTGCCCGAGCCTACGAGCTCGGTATTACCCCACATTAAATAAAGGCCTTGGGCCGCATCCTGCCTCGCGAGGTGGTGAAGTAAATAACCTTGCTTTGGCAATTAGTTGGAGATTCCTCTCCAGCTGTGTTGGCCGAAGGGCAGAATCTCGTCTGGGATGGTAGACAGCTACCCGACCCCGTGTATACGGGGTCTATGGGGAATTTTTGTCCGAGCCTTCCTCCAGGAATTAGTAGCCTGCTAACCGATTCCCTGGTCCGATTCTGTAGTGTATTTTCTTTTACAATAAACCTCTCTTTCTTTCATCTACGCCCGTGTTGCTGTTTCTTTAAACTCGAGTATCACCTTTATCTGTTTGTAACCTTCTTTAAGGATACAAGAGAAACAAAGAAAAGTGTACTCAACTGTTGCGTAATATGAGTCCTCCTATATGGCAGTGAATGCTGGACCATCTCACAGATGCAGAAAAAACTTCCGACGATAGAAATGTGGTTCTATAGAAGGATGCTGGAAATACCAATGCAAAAAAATGGAAACAAAAAGGACACTTATATTTAACAATCGAAAGAGACAGTTGAAATTTCTAGGGTAATGAAGAAAGAAGGCTTGGAAAATTAGATCCTCACAGGATAGATTGAAAGTCAGAAGGCTAGAGGGAAACAACGCGTAACCTACATAGAGAGCCTGAGTCAATGGATGGTGGTCCAATGTTTAGGAGAAATAGCAAAAAGACAACATTTATTAAGAGCTACAACGGACAACAACTGTAGAGACATTCACGTTCGTAAGGCATTTCCTAAGCCACATTTATTTTACTCAACTGGTTGCAATGTGAATCTCTCTACAGTTGTTGTCCTTTGTAGCTCTTAATAAATGTTGTCTTTTTGCTATTTCTCCTAAACACTGGACCAACATCCATTTACTCTTTGTACAAATCCAAAGTTTAAATGCAAAATATATAAAAAATTAAATGTTCACAGACCTTGTCTTTTCTCTGAGTTTCGCGGAGTTATATCCACTCTTCAGGAGACTTGATTGCGAAATCGGATTTATATTTTTCTTTACCCCCTCTATTACTTGGTATCGAGCACTATAATTACAAAGACTGCGCGCCTTATCTTCTATAAATACCCTGTCCTAAATAGCGACTAATGTTCCTTTCTCCAAATTAATGTCAAGTCCGTTTTCCTATCTTCAGATCATTCCAAAGGCTTGTGAATAACGGTTTTCAGGTAACAGATTGCGCAAGTAATAAACAATTGATGGTACTTGAAAAACTCTTCTGAGATTTCTTTATCATTGTGTAAACAGAGGGGGTCGGGGACTTTTGTAATAGATTCTCGTATCTGAGTAAAATACGTTCGCAAAAGGGACAAATAATAAGTTCCACCAGTTCAGACCTTTACACCTAGAAGACGCCATACCACTTATACGGAGTCTAAACACCCACGTTTCCCCCGTGTTCCAAAGATAAGAGGAATGTTTCCCTTAACATCTTCCCAATAACTACCTCTTTGTAAAACAGACTCCTGCGTGGGTGCTCTTCTAAACATTACGAACATAACCTTTTCGAGTCAAAACTCAATCGTAATCCAATGTCTGCCCCTTAGTACCTTCTTATTCATTCATAGCACACAGATCATTCATTATTAAAATTTTAACATAAACCCTCTACCTTGAGTGGCTTTTGAGCAACGTATCGGGTGAGTACAAGTATGAAAAAAAATTGGAGTTGGAGATTTTTGTATCAGCGTAAATGATTCTCTTATTTTTACTTCCTGCACTTGGGTAAAATCAATCAGCTGTGTGCCATGCGTGATACACGCTTAGGCGATCATGTATCTTTCGATACATGACTGACGAGGCAGATTTTTTCCCGCAGTTGATTGCCATTTCTTTCAATGGTAGACCAGTCGCCATCCAAGGCTATAGAGTCCGTTCTGTCCTGCTATTTACTGCTGGGGGATAAGAAGACGATTCACACCTTTGCCAAGGGTATTAGCACGTAAGTGAATGTAATGGATTCGACTGGAATTCGAAATCGGTTCTCCGATTTCTCAATCCGAGCCGCTATCTATGACGCCACCGTACGTTCGCGAAAGTAATAAGTGCTCAGGTCTTGAAAGCGTGAAGGTGTCACGTCTAAACTTTTATAAAACTAAATTCAGTCAGTCAATAAATAGCCAAAGTTTAAACGCGTTAAGATCCGGAATAAATCTGACAGGAAACGAACTCCCGAACGAATTCACTGTTAACGGACTCATGCTCACGTGACAAGCGTTCGACGAATTTTGATTGGTCCGTTTCTATGACCGAATCCATGTCTCATGTGATTCTGTCGACCGGTCGCCGTTGTTTCAAAGACAGACAGATCTCACCGGCTAAAACACGGCAACCCTGTCATTGTTGATTGGCGAGAAAAAAAAAATAAATAAAAATAAAAATCAACAACTCAAGAGGTTTTTGTCGTTAGAGCCAGGCGTCAAGATGGAGAGTTTATTTGAAGCAGTGTTGAGGAAGAAAAACAAGTGTGACTGGTAGAGGTTTGTGGATGTTTGGGTCCTTTCGTTTTGGGAAAGGTGGAGGAGTCAAGTAGACAGAAATAAATAATAGACTATTATACAAACATGCCTGGATTGTGGGTTTTCTTACTTCAACAGCCTTCCCTTAATTTTTCTCTCCCCCATACGCTGTTTTGTTCTAACTGACTGTAATTGTGAACAAGAAACAACAGACTGAAAGTGACGAAAAGAAGAGGCCGTTTTAAATCTGCTGTTTCTATGGGAGACCAATTGCTGTTGCCATTTAACTGGAAGACGATTATCCGGGGCCATAGTAGCTTAGCGAACTATTCAGGTCAGAGGTCATTGAAAATAAGACTTGGGCGAGTTGCAAAGATAATAGAAAGTTTAAAACATTATGAGGTATTTTCATCCGACCAGAAGGTGCATCATTAAAACAAATTATCCCGTGACATAGAAGTTATTCGAGATTATATTCCAAGTCTTTCGTGGCCTTTCTCAAGGGAACAGAGTGAGACTAGTTATTTACTTGAGCTTAGCTCAGATTTGGCACCACAAGTAGCAGAACTCAGTGAGGATGGATTTCATTACCTATCGAACTCACTACTTTAAAACGTTCACTTGCTTTTTCTTAATAACTAGCTCTTTGTGGAACAGACTCCTGCGTGGGTGCTTTCCTAAATACTACACTCTTGATTTCTTCAAGTCAAAGGTCAATCGCGATATATACTCTTTGTCCTCATTTTTCACTTCGTGCCACCTGCTTTTTCATTCATATCATTTACCTCATTCAGTATTAAAGTTTTAGCATTAATCTTCTACCTCGGGTGGCTCTCGAGCGGTGTATCAGACGAATACAAGTATTAAAAAGGGTCGAGGATTTTTGTATCAGCGTAATAATAACGTCTCTTATTTTTTTACTGCCTGCACTTGTGTAAAATACGTTCGCAAAAGCAATCCGTGTTCAGGTGTTGAACGCGTGAAGCTGCCGCGTCCAAAGTTTATAAAACAAAAACAAACAGCAATCAATTAAATAAGTAGAAGATGATTAAACGTCGGAATAAATCTGACAGGAAACGAACCTCCGAACGAATTCACGTTTTACGGCCACGCGCTCACGTGACAAGCGTTCAGCGAATTTTTGATTGGTCCGTCTCTGTGGCCGAATCCATGTCTCCGGGAGAAGTACGATGCTGTTTTTTTCTAAGCGTGGTTCGCTTAGATGTGACACCTATGCCGAAAGTATGTTGCACCCGGTGAGGACATAACTCATTATTCAGTAGGAATTGATCTAGCGAGACAAGCCTGCTAACCATAACACCACATCGAAGCGCCGAGAAGTGTAAAATGTAATTTCGCGGTTTTCCGTTGTTTGAAAGATCGACATATCTCACCGACCCAAACATGGCTACCTTCTCATTGTTGATTATCAGATTGCTGCTAAGCTAGCTTGTTAAATTTGACTTTACCAAGGAGTACCCTAGTTATTTTATTTTACTAGTGTTCACTCAAGGCAAAATGGTGCGTGGTATGAATATGAGCATATAGATAGATTACCACTTGACATGAACGGGTTAGGGTTGCAGTGTTCAAGGAAACTTCTTCAAGAGAGTCTGTTCCACAAAGTAGCGATTCTTGGGGAAAAAAGGAGCCTAAGTGGAACGTTCTCTTTATTACTGGAATGCGGAAGGAATTAGGAGTGATTCGATTCCGTGAATGTAAATTTAGTTGTAAATGTCTGAATTGGTGGTAATATAGAATGAAAATCATCTGAACATTTTCCATGGAAATAGCGAGAGAGTAAAGATAGGCTAGCGACATTGTACCTTTATTTTATTTTGTTTTTTTACCAATCTTCACTTAATACAAGGGCCACTCAAGGTAGAGGGTTACTGTGTCGAGTTGTATTAGCGTTAGAATAGGCAAATAATAGAAAAGATAGCAAATTCTAGACTTGAAGAGGTCAACATTTAATTAGAAAATAACATTCCAGTGTCCAGGCGAAGACGTTAGGCGTATAGAATTGAAGAAGACTTTAGAAGGAACCGGAAATCCAATCCTAAAGAGAAAACAAGCGATGAACCTCTACTCCTTTTCAAAAGATCAGGGAGTAGTGTGTACCGGACGATAGGCAAACCCACTTTGTCCTGTTATTCAACCCGTAAAGAGAAGTGATAGATTCATACCTTTCCCAAGGGTATTTGCGCGTAAGTAAATGTAACGAAATCAACTGGAAACCCAATCCTAAAACGGAAACAAAGGATAAACCTCTACTCCTGTTCAAAAGACCGGTGAGGAGCATGAACCGGACGATAGGCAAGCTCAGTTTGTCCTGCTATTCAACCCGTAAAGAAGGTGAGAGAAGAGATACCTTTCCTAAGGGTATGTGCTCGTAAGTAGGGAGAAAGAAGTTAAAAAGAAAGGGGGAAGAGATAAATATATATAGATAGATAGGGAGAAAAGGGGAAGAAATACATACAAGTGGAGAGAAAGGAAATGCATGTGTATAGAGAAAGAGGAGAAAAGGCGTATATACCTATGCATATAGAGAGAGTGGGTAGAGATAAATACATATAGAGTAAAAGGAGAAAGCGATAAATAGATGTTTATATAGCGAGGGGGCAACAGACAGATACATATGTCTAGGGAATGAGGAGAAACAAAGAAAAGCATGTGAATATAGAGAGGTGGGAAAGTGATGAAAACGAAAGAAAGATAATTACAGGGTTGATCTCAAGAACGCAATGATTGAAAGGTAGGTACGAATGGGAAAGGTTTCAAATTTGCTCGACATTAAAAAGAATTATTTATGGAGAGATACAAAAAAAGAAAATGTAAAAGAGAAGAAAGTATTCATGCATTCCTTATTCATTTTCTTCTTTTTTTATTTTTTTGCACATAAAACTAATCTATGTTTACATAAAACATCTACCAGTAAAGATACAAAATATAGACCAGCAACGTAGTCTTTGGAACCTGTAATGAACGCGGAGAAAAATGGGTCTAATGGTGTACGGCAAATGTAGCCAACACCTGGTTTCAAGAACACCCAAGATGTATGTGGACATGGAGAAGCCCAGGAGGAAAAAAAAACAACAATAAAAGACAAATCGACTACATAACTATCAACAAGATGTTCAGGAATGCAGTTTTACACTGCAAAACATATCTAAGTGCCGACTGTGGAAGCGCACACCTTTCAGTAATATGCAAACTTAAAATGAAACTACGGAAACTAAAGAGGCCTAAGGCATCACCCAAATTGTAATACGACAGACTCTTGAACGAACCGAATATGAAGGAGAAATATATGGACAGTGTGAAAAGCAGATAAGAGGGAAAAAATGAAAATGGAAACTCGAAGTAGAACACGTTAAGAGAAGCTTTAGTAAAAGCAGCAAACAGGATTATCCTGAAGGAAAATAAACGAAGAAAAAAAAATGGCCGACAGATGAAATTCTAGACATGATGAAAAAGAGGCAAAAACAATACCAAGACACGGAACAGAATATAGGACACTACACAAAGAAATAAGAAATAAATGCAGGTAGGCTAATAAGGAATGGCTCAACGAAAAGTGTTCAGAAATAGAAAGAATGTGTGGCACAGATAAAGCAGATAATTCATAAAAATAAAAAGAAAAAAGACATGCTCATCAATAGGATGCATAACATCCAAGAACGGAACACTCATGTCAGAGCGAGAAAAATACTTCAGAGATGGGACGATTATATCGGAGAAATCTTCCACAACGAATATCGAAGGTCCGAGAATATTAAAATCTGAAAGGGAATCTGCATTGGCCAAACTGAACGAAATCAAGAGAGACAGAATTACAATAGAGATGCTGGCAGCCTTAGATGATTTCGGCATAGACACGATTACAGAAATAATAAATTAAATCTACAACAATGGTGGTAGACCAGAGGAACTAAGTAAATCTATTTTCATAGCACAAAATAGAAGCCAGGTGCAAACGAATCAGCCTAATAAGCCATATAACAAAACCTATCCGAATTCTGATGTATAGATAGTGTCGAAGCCAGAAATTGGACAAGAACAGTGCGAGTTCGTCAAAGACACTGGAACAACTAACACCTGCTCATAATGTTATCAGAAAGAGCAATACAAATGCAGAAGGACGCGTACCTGTGTTTTATCGATTACGAAAAGGCGTTCGATAAGGAAATTTGATATATTTGGGAAGGATATTAGAATAATCAAGAACCTATACTAGCAGCAAACTGCCTGCATACGGATGATTTCAGGAGATATACAAAAATAGAAAACGCTGTAAGATAAAGGATGTGTCTTTTCACCGAACTTGTTCAACCAATAGAGCAAGACGGCTCTGAGAGAATTAGAAATCATACCAAGATTCATTATCTGTGGTCACAATCTTAACAACATAAGACATTCAGATGACACAGTGCTGATAGCAGACACCGAAAGACAACTACAAAACTACTACAGAAGTTAATGAAAGAAAGCAAGAAGAAAAGAATAAACATCAAGTGTAAGAAGACAGATCGCATGGTTGTTAGCAAAAGAGGTGATCCCAAAATGCAAATTACAAATCGGAGATATCAAAATCAAACAAGTACAAAAATCTAAATATCTGGGAAGTTTATAAACAGAGGACTTAAAGCAAGACACTGAAATACGAAAGTGCATTGGGATGACGAAAGTTGCCTTTCAGAAGCTATACAAAGTATGAAGAAACAGAAAAAATCTTCGTTAGAAACAAAGAAAAGAGTAGTGAACAGTCAAGTGTACAAAGAAACAAAGAAAAGATCATTGGACTGTTGTCCAAAATGTACACTTCAACCGATATGTATGCGTGTGTCTGAGTAAACAGAGAAACAGATATAGAGAG